TAGTTTGGTGCAAGGAATGAAACAGATGCCAATTTGGCTAAATTCCATTGTTGTCTGTTAGAAAGGACCATTTGATAAAAGGATTATAAATATAGACATGCTGTGGACCTGCTTGGGACTTCATTTCCAGGATGTAAAAGTGTCTCATTGAGGCTTTGCTTCCTTATTTGCAGAGTGGAAGGTGAATATTTGTGTTTAAGAATAACTGCCTCTTATCACCCCTTTCGATTGATTGGTAGCCTAATTCTTGATACACCTACCATCTAAATCTAAGACTTGGGATAGATCCCACCCCTAAGTTTCCAGTGATGGTCATACACTGAACTCTTCCCTACAATGGTTATTTCTGTGAACCACATTGAAAATTTTGCACAGATGCAAAATAAGCAGATTGACTTTTAAATTCTTTATGTTCTGAGAAGAATCACTGAAAGATGTTCTTATGTAGGTGGAAACTGGGGACTGGGAATTAATTGTGTGTGTAAGAATAGTAATTATTGGCAAAATTTAAAATGTGTGTCTTTCATATTTTATTCGTATAGTTTCTTCTTGTTCTAGATATCTATGGCACCATTATATGGATCTAGGAGGTAACCAATTGAAAAACTTTGAGAGGAGAAATTGCATTATGAAATGAAGACTGAGAGTGCCATTGTATGGCAGAACTCAGTCTAGGCCTTTGGAGTGAAACCTCTTAAGCTACACATTGTGAGAAAAGAGGAATGATCTGCTGGTAACTAAAGGAATTCCAGATGAAATACATGTCACTGTTTAATGTTCATCTGGGGAAGGTATATGCATTGAGTGAAAATAAGGTAAATTTTATTGGTAATTTTGTTGAGTCTCTTAATAAAACCAGTGGTTTCCAAACTGTGATCTATTATTTATCAGTGGGCTGTGAAATCTATTTTGAGTCTTCTTTAGCATTTAAACATATTAAATAGAATAAAACAGTGAATTGCAATAGTAATGATAAGTATCTTTTTGTGAAACTTATATGTCACACACACATACATACTCTAAAATATATTTCTTACTGTGAATCATGGTCCAAAAAAACTTAAAGGCTATATATTAAAGTGTAGCTGTCAGCATGGAGTCCTGGGATATCAGGTTGTGATTCGTTGCCCCTCTTGGATTCTTGGTGGGTGCGGAGGAAGCTGCTGGTAATGAAAGGAGAATGAGAGGAGGCTCTGTGATTCTGGAGGAGAAGTGCTGACCAGCTGCTCTGGCTCTACCCTGATGCTGCTGCCTTGTGCTGGCTGAATACAGTACTCATCTTGCAGAGCTCTGCTTTGCTTAGAGCTGTGTGTGCAGTTTAAGAGTGAAGCCTTAGTGTTTGGAGTGTAGTTCCATGGAACTTGCCTGGCATGGTCATGGGCTCAATAACCAGAGCCACAAAACAAAAACAATGAGTGAAGCCATTGCTGGTGATGTTGTTTCAAAGCTAACCATAGAAATAGGTTGTACTTTCTTGGCTGAGGAGGATTATAAGGAAACATATCTCTTGAGATTTCCTCTTTAACTCTTATCACACAATTTCATTTATATTTTGAGGCAATAGCACAATTTCTTTGGGATATAGATCAGAAGGGACCTTTTCCAGTTGGGGTGTTGACTAGCACCTGAACCCCCTTCCTTTTTTGAGTTTCAGTTGAAGGAGCTGTGGATGTCTGACTAGGAAAGAACTGGGTTTGGCCTGTTGGATCCCTCCTTTCCAAGACTTTGAGTCTGGAGGGAATAGTACACATACATGGGAGAGACTTGAGATCATTCCTGGTAGCCATAGAATTAGGAGTCCAGTTGTGGTGAGAGTTGGTGACCAGTGGTGATGGTGCTAGCGGTGGTGTTCTCAGCAGGCCATTCTTGGGTCCTGTCTTTCTCTTATACTCACCTTTACCTCAAGGTAAGCAGAGTTAATTTCTGATTTTTTTCCATTTGAGAACCTGAGTGATTTGAGTTACAGGAATCATGTTAGATGGATTTCTGCCTAAACAGAGATTCCTATGTAGCCTTAAGAGAGGGAATAGGTGAATATGTGTAGATACAAATAAATTAGCACAAGGTGCAAAAACTTGAGGGACTCTGGATTTTTTCTTTAAATTATGGTTACCCCTACTGAAGACTGGCGTGCCCAGCCAGCCACTGAAGACTGGTCTTCAGCTCCCACTGCTCAGGCCGCTGAGTGGGTAGGAACAACCACCGAGTGGTCTTGAGCTGTTCTGCAGACACTTATTAATAAGAAAGATGGAAATAAGGTTATGGAAAATAAACACCAATTTCTTTTTTTTTTAAGAGAAAGAATTTTTTAATATTTATTTTCTAGTTTTCGGCGGACACAACATCTTTGTTTGTATGTGGTGCTGAGGATCGAACCTGGGTCGCATGCATGCCAGGCGAGCACGCTACCGCTTGAGCCACATCCCCAGCCCCATAAACACCAATTTCTAAAAATAAACAAATAAATTATGGTTACCTTCAAGCTTTGTCAGATGGCACTTTTGTAATAGATTTTATGTCTTTGCATCAAGACATTTTGGAAGTTCAAATTAATGAAAAATTATGTTAGAGTGCAGCATAATGTGGTTTCAAACATTTGTACGCTAGGGTTGATTTGTTTTCTTTCTTTTTCTTTTTTAATCTAAAGGGTTTTAAAAACCGTGAGTGTACTCACAGAAAACTGTTCTAATGGACATAAGCTTTTTATTTTAGTTTAAGAGTTTGGGGAAATCTTGAATCATCACAACAACCTATGAAATACATACTTTTACCATTTTACATTGGAAACAGAGTCTCAGGTGAAGAAACTTGCCTGATGTTGTCACACAGTAAGTGTTCCCCCACCCCTCACAGACAGGTTTCTTTAGGAAAGTAGATACATATTCAAGGTAGGGGGGTAATCTCAAGAGAGTCACCTTTAGGGTCAATCACAGAATACACATTCAAGAGAGAATGTGAGCCATCTCCAGAAGGAGAGACAGCACACACAGTGTTAGAGATCTGAACCCAGGTTAGGATGACTCCAGGCTTAGGCTTCTGTTTCTGGGCTGTAAGGAAACCCAGAGATCATCTAATACTTTTTTGTTAAGCAGTCTGAGCTCAAATCCTGCATAAGAAGCTTGCTTTAGATTGGGCAAGTCTTGGCAGAGCTAGGATGGAACCTGGGCCTCTTTCTGATTGGCAGTTTATCTTACTGCCTACAGGAAGAAACTGGCATATAGACTGCCCTCATTTGCATCCTCCTTCACTTTGCATTCTTTCTGCTGTTTTCCTACATGATCCCTTCTGGTCTGCGTATTCTTTCCTATACTTACACCCTCTTGATCTCCCTTCCTTCTGGTCCTTTCCTTGAAGAGCTGCAACCTTTCTTTCTGTCTTTTGTATCTTTTCCATTTCTTCAAGCCAGGAGCAGGTTCACTCTCCAGATAATGTCACAGACCAAACCATCACCCCCTTGCCTTCTTGATTCCCACAGTTTTTGCCATCTCTGTCCTGGCAATCCTTAACATCCTCTGACTTGAGGTACCTGTGTATGTGTTAGCCTTGCCTGGTGTTAACAAAACTACAGGATTTTGGAGGGCTCACACATATTTATGTTACATCTTTAGATTTCCTGAAGCCCTGAGCCTTGCCCAGGGCAATGTGGGAAATGGAAAGGGCAGTAAGCAAGTTCCAGACTTGGTCTTGCCACTTTCCCAGTTGACCATGGGAATCCAAGTCTTCTCAGTTGTGAAAGGGACTGTGAGACTTGAATGTGGTTTTGTGATTTTCCCAAACTCTTAAACTAAAATCAAAAGCTTATGTCCATTAGATAAGTTTTAACCTTTTCAACTCATAGAAGTGCTGTATAGGGGCTAGGGATATAGCTCAGTTGGCAGAGTGCTTGCCTTGCCTGCACAAGGCCCTGGGTTCGAT